ATACCAGTTACATTATAAATTTACCTATTACATTATAATTATAAAATATGTGTTGATACTTTTAAAAAATGTATCGATACATATGTTTAATTATTCTCTCATTATAATATAATTAATGATATATTATTCTTATTATAAAAAATAAAAAATATAATTTATAATAATTTTATTTTAATAAAATATAATAATCATAATTTTTTTATTTATAAAATTATAGATATAATATTTTAATAATAATATTTACAAAAATAATATTAAATAAATTATTTTAATATTTTAAAAATAATATTATTATTTTGTTAATAAATAATATTGTTTTATTGTATTTAATGTTTGTAGGCGCTATTACTGTTTTTCTTTTAAATTCTAAAAGTGTCTATACTTATTTAAATGGAATCGATACTTTCAACATATTCGGTAGTTAGTTTAATGTAATAAGTAATGCCTATTTTTTTTACCGTTTACATTATTATACTTGATAATGTTTCCAGTAAATAACCGGTTATGTTATCATTAGTAATATTTTAGGCGTTTACCTAATATATTGTAATAACAAATTAAATAATTAACCTATTTTATTATATAAGCGATGCCTATTACGTTATATAAGCGCTGCCTATTACGTTATATAAGCGCTACCTAATATGTTATTGTGCTTGATAATGTTTCCAGTAATTAACCTATTTTAGTATATAAGCGCTACCTATTACATTATATAAGCGGTACCTAATATGTTATTGTGCTTGATAATGTTTTCAGTAATTAACCTATTTTATTATATAAGCGATATATATTACATTATATAAGCGCTAACTATTACATTATATAAGCGCTACCTATTACATTATATAAGCGCTACCTATTACATTATATAAGCGGTACCTAATATGTTATTGTGCTTGATAATGTTTCCAGTAATTAACCTATTTTATTATATAAGCGCTACCTATTACATCATATTTTTACATGTTATATTGTAAAGTATTGATCCTTTTTATAAAAAGGATCGATACTTTCAACATATCAGGTAACATTATTATAAAACCGGTAAAATTTACCTGATATGTTGAAAGTATAGATACTTTTTATAAAAATGTATCGATACTTTGTTGAAAGTTATGTAATTTATGTTTCAAAAATTTTTAATAGTGCTTCATGTTTTCCACCTACAATATTAATTTAATAATTTCATTTACCAAACAAATTATTTGATTGTTTTGATATTTTATAAAATATTATCTAGAATTTAAATTTAACAATTTTAACCAAAGATAATAATAAATATGTAATATCTATGTTTATTATTTTTAATTTAATAATAATATATACCGTAACATAAAATAAATCATTAGACGTGTATAATTACTAAATTAATATCTTAAAACTCAGTAAAAAATAACCTTAAATTAATGTTTTGTACAGTGAAATAAGTATGGACACTTGTATATATGTATCGATACTTACCAATAACCAAAGTTTACCGGTTATCAAATTTTTTAATAGTTTTTCATGTTTTCTACCTAAAACATTATTAGTCTGTCAACATAATAAGTAGCGCTAAACCGAATTTATTAAATATCTTTTAATATATCCGATAATATCGTATATTAATCGTATATTAGTCGTCTTTTCTAAGACAATCCCAACACTACAACATTAAAAAAGAAAAAGAAAAAAGGCCTTTTGAAGTTTAGGGGTTGAAATACGGTAGAAGAAATAAAAGAATGGAAGAGATATTGGGTGCTTAAATGACCTTGCCACTAACTAACAATGGAGCAACCAAAAGTCCAAAACCAAATGTTTTAGTTTTCAACCGTGCTAAAAAATTATTCTTTTGTCGAGTTTCTACTTGAAATTAGGGATGTCATGGGTTGAGTTTGGGTCGGGTTTCTGTCAACTCGACCCGATTCAAAAAATTTACATCCTTCACTTGACCTGACTCGTCCCGAAAATATATACCTTATATCTGACCTGAATTGATCCGATTGATCTGAAATAATAAAAAATATCATTTTTATTCAATAAAAGTAGTGATTTAATTAAAATATATATAGAGATATATTATTGTAATTATTCTTAACTATATAAACTAAAATTATTATTTTTAGGTCAAGTAGGGTCGAGTATTTTTCACACTAAACATGAATCCGACCCGACCCGAACCGAACATCACCTTTAAAAAAAAATAACCCAACCCAAACTCGATTTTAAAAAAATCGATCCAACCAATTTGGGTTAAATCAAAACTCGTCGGGTTCGGGTCTCATACCCATCCCTAGCTGAAATTGAGACAGTCATTTCTTTTCCTTATCTTTTGCTATTTCGATGTTCAAATTTTTTAATTGCAGTACTTGGTTATTAGTCTCCAGCGAATGTTGCCGACAGTGGTTAATATAGCGGCTGGCGTGGTGGTTGGAATATGAATTTATTGAAGTTTAAGAGAAAAATGAGGAGGAATAAGAAGGAAATAAGGGGGAAAAACATAAATTTTTATTTAGATTAAAACTATGTTGTTTTGATATAAATTTAATTTTCTATAAGATTCAAAACTATGTAATTTTGGTGCTAGTTGCCACATCATATCGCTGTTAGAAATTTAATGATCGAGTGACAAAAAGAATCTAATGTATACAGTTTAGTGATTAAATTGAAAAAAAATTAAAAATATAATAAATAAAATATGAGAAAAAAGTAAAATTTAGTGAATAAATTTGTAATTTACCCTTATTCTTATACAAAATACTTCAAATCTAGTTTGTTCCGCACACTAAATGTTCCTATGTCTTTAGATTTACTTATTTTTCTCCGCAAATTTTTTAATCATAATTTTTTTTCTTTTTATCTCAACCTGAATATGGTTTCAATTTAAGGTGTATGAACAAAGGGTGAATCATGAACGGGGTTTTAATCATATGATTGATGAAACCATATTTCTCTAAATAATCTTAAATATGTATATTCTATTTCCTTAGTTATTTTTAAGCATTTTTCCTAATTTAACCCCCATAACAACACATTTGTAGTTATTACCAAAACCAAATTTGTCATTTAGGTGAATGTTGTTGACTCCTTGCAAATTCTTAATTTAGGCAAATGACTAATGAGGAGAAAAAAAATTAGTTGACCCTTATTCTCATATGTAATGGGATAAGGGGAGGTAGGATAGTAGGCAATCCTCAACGCCAGGTTGAGAGCAGCTTCTGTGAGAGACCTCTAAATTATGAATTATCCATCGTGGAATTCGATCCCACTACCTCAAGATTAAGAACTTTGTGCTCTACCAACTGAGTTGGATAGGCAACTAATGAGGAACCATTCCAATATTTTACTTTTAATATTATAATTTGTAAATATGTCCAATGTTGCATAAATGGAAAGGTTAAAAGGGTCACTCTTTATCCCACAAATGAACAAGGGCTTTAGTTCGAGTCTCATCCAAAACCGGTTCTTTGAAACGGAACTTTACTCTAAAAAAAACCTTGCAACACAGACCCGATGTCACAAACACAAGTGTTTCGGTCTCAACATTCTCATCTCATGTCATTTTTGTTTTTCCTCTTCACTGACAGTAACCTTAGTTGCTACGAAATTCAATTCATCTTCTGGAAAGAAATGTATGGCCCAACAGAAGGAGGCTAACCGGTTTACATCATTTTATATCCGGAGACAATGATCGTTGAACCGAGGGGTCCCTTCCTTTCTAAGCTGCTTTTGGACCGGTTTTATTTTTTAAATCGCTATTAATAGATATTAAGATTTAAATTTCAAAATGTATCAATTAATTTTTTATGATGGTTTTTTGTTAATTAATTTTCCTCTGTTTATTTACTAATAAAAAAATTAGCTGACCGTATTCTCATATGTTAACGAAATCATGATCATGGGACCAATTGATTCAAAGATCAAAGTCCAAACCAATGATAATCAATACATTTCTAAAAAAAATAAATTCTTATATAATTTAAGTATTCTTTTATCTTCTACTGATAATTTAATTTTACACCATAATTTTTAATATATTTTTCTAAAATTCATTTCTTAAAATAAAATTCTAAAGTCATTTTAGGAATCTTTGAAAACTTAAAGTCTTTATTTTTATAATCAAGATAATAATTAGCATAGTTTTACGATAAAAAATATTTTTTAATTTTTATTATAATATTATACAATCTAATATAATTCATTAAATTATGTTTTCATGATTATAATAGAAGTAAGAAAGCAAATTAGAAAATAGCAAAAATAGGGATTATTGTTAAATAGATGAGAGACGGGCCTTAACTTAGCTTGCAAATTACATTTGCCAGTTAACTATTGAATGATATCCACCTCAACATATTTACATTAGATGGAGGCCCACTATCATTAATCTCTTAAATAAATATTGTTATTAATTTTTTTTTAAAATAATTCAAGATCTAACCGTATATAAATTTATTTATCATAAATAAATACATTTTCCAATTAATCATGAAATTATATTCACGCGTTTGACATTTTTACTAAGTAGTAATCTTTAATAATATAAAAATTACAAAAAAAAAACTCACATAATAATAATATTATTAATATTTTAAAAAATATTATTTTTACTATTTTTCAGTTGGATCGATAATTTTAGTATCTTTCAGATACCATATGATTCAACCGGAGCGGATACATTTGACATTGCATATTTATTATTTTAAATAAGTTATTAAATATAATTTAATACGTTAAGGAAAACAGAGAAAATAAGAAAATTTTATATATTCATTTTATTAAAAAAATAATTTAAAATTTTTAGATGTCATTTTTAAATTATTAGATACCCCAATGATCTCAACTGAAAAAAGGAGTTTAATAAATAGTATCACTAACAATTATCATATTTTATATTGTATTTTAAAATATTTAGTTTAATAGAAAATTCTATTATTTGTTGGATGATGATGAAGATCTATTCTTGAACTATATAAATACTGCCTTCTATTCCCTCTCTCACACTCGCCCTTCATCCTTTGTCTTTCAAATCTTAAGGGTTGTGGCGCAGTTGGTTCGCAGGAAAAGCTTTTCACCATTGTTTCAACATGATTCTTAATAATAGAACTCTGTTTATATCTGCTTCGCTTTGCATTGCGGTTGCATCGGTTTTGGGTCAAGCTCCTAGTAATCCTCCTACGTCCACGACGGCGCCTCCCACACCACCAGCTTCCACTCCTCCTCCAACTACTCAGCCACCGCCTGCACCGACCACCACTCCCCCGCCGGCTTCTTCTCCTCCTCCTACTTCATCGCCTCCCCCAGTGAAATCTTCTCCACCCCCAGTTTCAACCCCTCCACCTAGCTCTCCTCCTCCAGCAACTCCGCCTCCACCTGCTTCTCCACCTCCCGCCACCCCACCACCTGCTTCTCCTCCACCAGCATCTCCCCCTCCCGCTACTCCACCACCTGCTTCTCCTCCACCAGCAACTCCACCACCTGCAACTCCTCCAGCTACCCCACCGCCTGCTCCCTTGGCTTCTCCTCCGGCCGCAGTCCCGGTTACGTCTCCAGCTACGTCTCCCGTACAAACACCACTGAGCTCCCCACCAACTCCTCCAACTGAGGCCCCAGCACCTACCCTTGGCGCTTCTTCGCCAGGTCCATCGGGAACTGACACGGTACATTTTCTCTTATTCTTTCACGTATCTTTATTTCTCCATTTACAATCACCTATGCGGGATTAAGTTTTAAATCTGTATACGACTAAACCCTTAATTGATCAAAATTTCATGGTGGAAGATACGGGATTAATACTCGTTAGTTTTCAACATTGAAAATTGCAGAGTGGAGCAGATCAAATGTGGGGCGTACAAAGGATGGTAGGGAGCTTGGTGTTGGGATGGGCCACCCTAGGTTTGATAGTTTGTTATTCCATTGCTTCATTTGCTTAAGTCTCTTATGGGACATTCTACCATGAATACTTGATTACTTTACCATATATGTATACACACATCATTCGCTTGTATTCTTTCCGGCTTTATTTTTCTCCCTTTCATATATATGTTGAGAGAGATTCATATTATATTATTGTTATTACAATTGAATAATTTTAGTTAGAAAAAGTGTTTCCCATAATGATCAAATTTCGTACTATGTATATTTTTATTTATCCAAATAAGTTATTTAACAAAACTTTGTTTATATTGAAATATATGTGATTATTTTTTAGATTGAATTAATTTAAATAAAATAAATTTGGATTTTGAAAATTTTCGGTTTCTGTTGTTTTATGGTCTAATTAAATAAGTTTAAATCCTCTCAATCTTGTTTTTATATTCTTTATCTTTTATCCGATAATAAAAATGTTATCCTATTATTATCAATAGAAGGACTTAACCTAGGGCAAAATCAGCCCAATAATCCAAACAGGTAAATTATCTAGCTCAATAGGGCGATTTGGAAATTATTTCGAGATCTATGGTATTTATAGGGGGTAAATGAAAAAAACGTTCGGTGAATTATTCGTGAACCGTTCGGTGAATTGTTCGTGAACCGTTCGGTTAAAGCTCGTTCATGTTCGTTTATTTATGTTCGTTTATTAAAGTAAATAAACGAACATGAACATGATTTTTATGTTTGTTTAATAACTGAACGAACAAGAATAGAGGTGTGTTCGGTTCGTTTATGTTCACGAACAATATCGTTTATGAGCTCGTTTATCTTTTTACATTTTAAATATTAGTGAATATACATACTAAATTGAATATATGATAAAAATTGAAGTTTAAAATATAAATCTTGATAAGTTTAAGAACCATTAGCGTAATTTCACCATTTCCCCTATTTAAAAAAAAAAAAACTTTCCGTTCACAGTTTCACTCTCTTTCTAATTTCAGCCGCCCTCCTCGTCTCTTCCCCTCCTCCTTTTCATAAACTTTGTCAACCATAAACCTTATTTTGCAACACCGTGCTCTACACCGTCGATGTTTTTGTGCTCCTCGCCTCGTCCCGATCATAACGGTAGTTCTATACGCGTGGGTCGTTTTCATTTACTTGCTTTACAAATACAAATCTCTGTTTTTATTTTATTTTTATCTCTTGATTTTTGTGTGTGGGAGTTTTCTTTGAATTAATATTTAATTTTAGTTTCATGATTACTCGATCTATGATCTGAGGCTTGGTTGACAGCATTTTAAGAGTTTTATTTTGCGGTTAGATTCAAATGAACCTTGATTTGGCTTGTTGTTGTGCTGCTTTGAAGCATATTATGGGTAATGGAGATTCTGTGGTTAGTATCTAATTTTATTCTGTTGGTTAGATTCAAAGGATTTCTCAAGACTATTATACGACTAATAGAGATTTGGGATATTAAAGTTTTGCCGCTAATTGACTGGAAATTATTGGCATAGCTTTGGTAATTTGATTTCATCATGTTCACTAAATATTGTCTATTTTTATTTTTTTATTTTTTTTTGAAAAAGGGTACCTTGTATTGATACATAACAAAGTACATCACCCTTAGGACCTCGTTAAAAAATCTCCCTAAACCTATCGGAGGAAAAAGAGTATACCATGGGGTGATACCTGAATACAATTTGAACAGACAAAAACGTTATAACCCAAAAACACAAATCGCACCTAATTCCTAAAACTTGAACCATAACAACAAAAACCATGTACCACATTACAACCAAAAAGCAAGTAAACTAACACATGTGAATATCAAACCAATTAGGTGCGGTAAACTGCATAAACATTACAGTACCATCAACAAACTAAAATTGCAAAACTGGAAAAACAATATACAACATAACAGCAGAAGCGATCATCCAAGAACGAAAGACTCGGGGCTACGAACAAAATCTTGCACGTATGGAATCAAGGTAGGCCAATAAATATTAGACCAGACCCCTACCTGAAATAAAACTTTAGAAAAGATCTGATCCACTGTAAACGAAACACCCTTAAATCGAAGTTGATTTTTGCATAACCATAATACCCAAATCAGTCCAAAAAAACCAAGATGCCATACCAACCTACCACGCTTCCTAATTCTTTGCGAGAACCAAATATGTAGCAGTTGATTTACATTCTTGGGGATTACCATGTTCACTGTCCACACCTTGCACCATCGTTGCCATACTTGCCATACAACTCCACAATGACATAAAACATGGTTTATAGATTCCGGTTCGCATTTACAAAACACACATTCGGGCTGATCTATACTCCTAACTCCTCTTTTTTGCAACTCTGTAATAACTGATATCCTTTGATGAACTGCTTTCCACACAAAAGCGTCTACCTTAGGTGGTGCAAACTTAAACCAAACCAATCTCCATATAGGATCTTCCGACTTACCACAACATTCCAACTTAACACAATAATCTTTCGCTAAATACCTACCATTAGACGCACCACTCCACTTGAGTCGATCCTTACCCGGAAAAATGCTAACAGCTTTATTCAGAACAAATAAAAAATCAGACCATAAAGACTTTTCCCAATCAAAAAGAGGTCGTCTCAGCTGAATATTCCATTCTCAAACACCATGATGCCACCTCCCAAAATTAGTAATCTTGCCGAATTTTCTAGTAGCAATAGCAAAAATTCTCGGAAATGAATCTTTGAGTGAATTCATGACGGTCCATCTATCCGTCCAGAATTCAATCTTGGCACCATCACCCATAACACACTTTAAATAAGAAAGAAGATCCACCTCATTTGAAAATACATGATTGATAATGCCACGCCACACCCAAGACGAGTTCCTAATGGATACTGTTTTTGGAAGAATCGAAGCACTATCGTAATTGTACATCGCTACAATTATTTTCCTCCACAAACTATCAACTTCCTCGCTAAATCTCCAAATCCATTTATTCAGCAAAGCACGATTCTTCGTTTTGACGTCAACAATACCCAAACCCCCGTACGACTTTGGTCCACAAACATTATCCCACTTAATCCAGTGAATACTCCTCTCCGACTTAGCATTCCACAGAAAATTTGATATGCATTTGTTGATAGAATCAACAATAGTATTAGGAATATGAAAAATGGATATATAGTACACCGACAAATTCACCAAAATAGATTTAATAAGAGTTAATCTACCTCCGAATGAGAGGAGTTTACCTTTTCAACTTTGAAGGCGATTCCTAACTTTATCCAATATGGGCTGCCAAATGGACTTAGATTTTTTCTTCTGGCCAAGCGGAAGCCCCAAATAAGTCGAAGGAAGCTTTGCCGAAACACACAATATCTTATATGACCAACTCTTCACAATCATCTCGTCCACATTGATCCCAAAAAGCATGGTCTTTTTCAAATTTAACTTCAACCCGGCTGCCAGTTCAAAGATTTTTAGCAAACGATTGAAATTTAAGATCGACGACTCTTTTGCTTCAGAAAAAATAAGTAAATCGTCGGCAAATTGAATGTGGGATAACACAGTCCCATCGACCCCTACTTCCACCCCACTACACAACCCGATCTCGATTGCCTTAAAAAAACAAACCACTAAGCGCCTCACCAACAATGTTAAATAATAATGGCGATAACAGACAACCTTGACGAAGCCCTCTTTTGATAGAGAAATATTTTGACGGACATCCATTTACTAGCACTGCAATCAAAGGTGACGAGATGCACATTTTAATCTAATACCTCCATCGCCTACCGAAACCCATCTTCTTAAGTATCAGTAACAACAGTCAACAGTATCATAAGCTTTACTAAAATCCACCTTGAACAACACAACTGGATTCTTACTTTTGAACAGCCCATCTATGACTTCGTTTGCTATTAAAGAACATTTCGTTATTTGTTTGCCGGCAATGAAAGCGAACTGACTTTCGCCAAAAACTTCCGAGATACAAGACGCCATCCTCTTGGTCAATACTCGTGCAACAATCTTGTACAGGCTACCCACCAAAGATATAGGTCTAAAATCTTCAGGAGAAATAGACTCAACCTTCTTTGTAATAAGGGCGATAAAAGACTTGTTAATGAAAAATCGACTATTCTGCCCCAGTAGAAATCATCCATAAAAGACATAATTACCCCTTTAATATCATTCCAAAACCTCTTAAAGAAATCTAAATTAAACACGTCCGGCCCTGGAGCTCTCGACCCATCTGACGATTTGATTGCTAGCCATACCTCCTCTTCCGAAAAGGGAGCTCCAAAAAACGACGAGAAGCCGGATTTAATCTCTTCAACGAGATGTCGAAACTTTTCAGAGGAATGGTAGAAACATCATTATATCCAGCCCGAAAATAGTTAACAAAAACACGTTATATTCCAACTTGATTCTTAAAGACCGAATTTGAGACCTTGATTTTCGGAATCTAATTAGTTCGGCCTCTAGAGATAGCAGAGAGGTGGAAAACTTCGTACTTTTGTCGCATTCTTTGAACCAACGAAGCCTTGATTTCTGCAGCCATTCACGCTCTTCCTTCCTTAAGACAGTCCACAAACGCGCCTTCAAAGAAATCATCTTGGATAGATCTGAACTGCTACTTGAAACTGAAACAACTCTATTTTCAAGAATATCTATCTTCTTACGAATCTCTTCCGCAGATTCGGGATTGAACTGTCTGACTTCTCTTTCCCTCTCCTTTGTCGCTTTCTTAACCAAATCAAGAATATGAGACAAACCAAATCCTGTGTTCACTGCGCATAATCTTTTAATTTTATCTACGAGGATGGAATCATCCTCCCAATGCTTAAACCACTTGAAAGGCCTAAAAAACTTCTTGACCCTATTATCTTTTAAAATGATCGGCCTATGATCGGATAAGCCCCTAGGAAGAGAAGATTGTGTAAGAAGGGGAAACATACTGGCAATGTCAGTTGATATAAGAAACCTGTCGAGCCTACTCGCCGCCACCTGAACACCACTTCTGAACCAAGTAAACAGACTACCCACAACTGGAGCTTCAATTAACCCCCAAGCATAAATAAAGTCCTCAAACAAACACGACGCAGCCGATTGATCAAGAGACCCAACTCTTTCAGAATCCGATCTAACTACGTTGAAAT